ATACATAAAACATTGTAATCTTGCATCTTCTCAATTATAAAAAGGAAGGAGATACAATACTTATTTTACCATGTGAAAATATTTTAAATAGTAGAAATAAGTAGACAGCTAGTAAGGATTCAGAAAAAAACAGCACTGAAAAATTCCTATTGTGCTTAGCATTTTTCTATGGTTCCATGATGTTATCTTAATTCCTCCATCAATCTCATTTTACAGATGAAAAAGTGAGGTGCAAAATGGATGTCTTTCCTTTTTAAAAAGCCACTTACCAATCTGTGAGACTACAGCACAAAAAGTATGCTATGAAGCTTAATTCCTTAGAGAGAAACTAGAGAAAGTAAAGGGAACACTGCTAGTTTGAGACAATTAAAAATCGTGCACACAGTGACTCATGATCTACATATCTGAAGTCACAAAATATGCAAAGGTAACCACAGATTTGATTTAATACCCTCACTGTAATTCAGATCAGACAAGAAAGTCAGAGTTCAGTAAAATGGAAATCACAGATGAGCAATCAAAGAGCGAATGTAGTCACAGAAGTATTTCTGGTTGGGTCCCAGTCATCCATTGGAGCTTTGCTGTTAGTGCCACCTAGAATATCTCCCATGTTCACATTTTAGAGGTTATGAGTAACAAAATTATTTTATGGTCCATTACTTTATAGAATGGAGATTCGATAGGCTTGGATTACTGATATTTTTTTCTCTTGCACTAATGCAGCCCAATACCTGCTACACAATGCCTGACACATGAAAGTCATAGAATGAGCTTAGGTTAATGAACACGTAGCAGCATCATGAGATTTGTTCTGCTACCAGTGGCTTAGTAACTGGGACATCAATTTAAAATACTCAGTGAAACTTGATCAGAGGATCACTTTGATATTCAGGACTAAATTCTTTTGCAACATGGCACCATCCATCAAAATTGGTAATATAAATCTCATTAAAGTTTAGAGTATATATGCATTAAATTCAGAAAGTAGCTTCAGAAAGTAGCTATGTGTGACATGTGTTTTGAAAAACCAGATGGGAGCTGTATTTTTGTGACAATATTACCTTTTAGTATAAGGTAGAAACCACAGAAAGTCTTTGTAGCTCATTCCCTAATAGGTGCATTCTGTACTGCACAACGCAGCATTCAGACTCATTTGAATAGCTTCAGGTTGATTTGTGGCGAGCATTATATTAGACTCTTGAATTTACTATGACTATTTTCATCCATTGTGACCTTTATGAAATCCCTACTATGTACTGTGCTAAGTGTTTTATGTACACCAGTCATTCTGAATGGGGACAGTTTTGCCTTGCAAGGGTCAGTGGGCAGTGCCTGGAGACATACTTGACTGTCATAGTGAGGAGGGGATTATTAACTGTATTAGTGGTTAGATATCAGAGTTATTGTAAACATCCTAAAGGCCCAAGGCAGTTATCCTTAGACCAAAGAATGACTCAGCCGCAGATATCAATCTGAAATTCAGAAACCTTAATGTACACCATTTTATTTAATCCTCCAAGCAATACTAAGCAGCAAATAATACGACAATCATTACTTTCTTACAAATGGAGAAATTAGGACTTGCAATGGTCAAATAACCAAGGACCAACATCCATAATTGGCTGAGTTGGCCCTTACTTAACTCCAAAGTTGTGCTTTTAAGAGTTATATGGAACAGTGCTCCTTCGATAAAAAAATCCAGGGCAGGATGTGGGTAGGGGAAATTGTGAAAGCAGGTGGATAGAATAACAAATCAAAAATAAATTGTTATCACATAAAGCATGCAGGGAGGGAAGTACAGAGAGGATAAAGCAGAAATAAAACGACGCTAAGAACAGATGGTACTTTTAGGATATATCAAGAGAAAATGGGGCTAGAGGAAGAAATAGAACTGCTAATAAATAAGGAGGAGCTCTAAAATGGATGGGAAAAAGAAAACATGTAATCCTGGGCTCTAAAACTTAACTCTCCCACAGGAAATAGATATGAACAAGTTGGGAAATGGTGAAGAAAAAGTTATTGATTGCAAGCAGCTCAGCAGAAATGTGAAATGCTGTCTTTATAGGCTTATATGGTATTATGAAGTAGGCTCACTAACTACCGAATCACTTAGAACGATTTACGGATGATTTTTTTGAGATTCAAGGAGACTGCAAAAATTTGAGGAAAGTAAATGCTGCAATGATGCTTATGGAGTCACGTAGACTGTGAAAGGGCTCATTATAAGACCCCACTGGAGCTTTGCTTGAGCAAAATCAATACGAATTGATCACCACGGACCCTGTCTAGAAGGGGATCCGTCACTGAAACACCAAACAGCTCTCATTAGGAGATGGTCCATATGTAAAGTTTCTCTACAATGGGCCCAAGGATGGGATGTGAATGTGACAGCTGTGCTTTGTTCATGCGTCTATTAGACAGTAAAAGCTCAGTTTAAAATCACAATGGAAATTACAGATTGTGCTAAGCATGGTCAGACACTTAAAGGAGTAGTGGTAAGGACAAATTTTCCATGAGTTAAAGCCACAGAGAGAGGACATCTCGTCTCTAGAAACTGGAGACGTCAAGCTTTTACATTTTTGGGGTGCATTATTGTAGAGTCTCAGAAAGTTCTCCCAATAGCTAACATAAACTTCCCTCACGCACTCCACATTCATTTCATCTTGTTCTTTCAGGAAAAATCAGAAGTGCAACAAATGCAATGTTCCCCAAGACTATAGCCCTTCTCCCATTCCCCATTATGTTCCAGTTCCTTGGGCTACTTGTGGTGGCCTTACTCTAGCTAAGCTTCAAGTAATTTTAACGAAACGTGTGTTTGAAAGTTATAAAATAATAGCTGCTATAAAATGTCAACCTAATATAAATATATATAAAATAGGAAATACATTTATCCATTTAATAGTTAGTTCCTAGTGGATATTTGGGTTGCTTTTAGTTTTGCTCTTAAAATAGTGCTCAAAGGTAAAGGCCTATAGGACTATACATATTTATTTTTAGACTGTTTTTTTTTTGGCTAATTCTGAGTTATAATAGATATCGAAATGCTCTCAAAACAATGCAACTAATGTTAATGAGCAGTGTATGAAAATACTTCTTTCTCCTTGCTAATAAAAAATGATGTTAATGATGATATAGTAATGGTCACAACTAAAATTTACTGTTTAGTGTGTAGACATTATTTTAAACATTGTTCACTACCAAACATTATAAAGCTTTAGTATTTGCCAATATGATAGACAAAACTATTTTTTGCCTTTATTTTACAGATCCCTGCATTTCGTATCATTTGTAAGTCATAGAAACCATGTTATCTAAATACCTTTTGTCTATTCAAAATAGCAAAAATATTTTCCTATGGTTTATTTTGGCTTTGTTGTGTGCTTGTTTGGACCATCAGTAATCAGAATGTCTTCGTGGCAAAGGTGGCTGGTTGTCATCCCACAGAAGCCTCTGTCCCAAGATCCAGAGCTATGCTTGGAAAGTGATGCCCAATCAGGGATCTTCTTTCGTGGGTTCACTTGACTCTGCATGGGCTGATGTTATAATTCTACTGAATGGGAAGTGAGTAGAAGTGACAGGTGTCTAGGCTGAGGGAAGCTCATGTATCCGATGCCTTCCTCTCTCCTAT